CTTCTATACCCATTTTATTCAGAGTTTTTATCATAAATGGATGCTGTATCTTGTCAAATGCTTTCTCTGCATCTATTGAGATAATCATGTGATTTTTATTCTTCATTTTATTAATGTGGTGTATTACGTTGATTGATTTGCGAATGTTAAACCATCCCTGCATCCCTACCACCAGGATTTCAAATACCAGCAGAGTCACCCATGGTGGACAGGTTTCAGCAGAGCTTCCATACTCAGACAAACTAGGAAGAGAGATCTCACCAACCACTTCCTAAAAAGTTGGCCATGAAAACTCTATGAATAGCAACAGAGCATTGTCTGATATAGCAGCCAGAAAGTGAGAGGATGGTGTAGAAAGACCGGGCAGGGCCCTGCCCTGTATTATACTTGGCTTGATGGCACTAACAACAAACTCAATGCTTCCTTCACTCTGATTAGTGCGCTATCACAGGGTGGTGTCCCACAGAACAATGGATCTTCTACTCCGGAGGTTGGGCTGGCTCCAATATTCATTATTGTAAATAAGCTTTTGTTTAATGTCTTTGTGCCTAAATATTTTCCTCTGTTTTGCATTTATTTCCTTAAATCAAGATCCCAGAGATGAGATTAGTGTTTCAAAGAGTACCATGTTTATGACCCTAAGTGCACAGCTCAGCTCTTCCCTCGGGCTACTCTACAATGTCTTGAGTAATCATCAGATTCTTGCTTGTTGGTGTCTGGTGAAGGGTTCAGATGATGGACACACACTGATTCCCTATGGGTTGTTTCCACTGACACCAGCAATTCCCAAAGGCTCCCAGTCTCACTAATGTCAGACTTTATTTCATGACTGTAAACAATGCCTCATTTTCAGCTTTCCTTTATTCCTTGTGAGATTGAATGCATGAGCAGACCCAGAGGGAACAGGAGCTGAATCCAGTCACTGAGCTCAGGAGGTGGCAGGGAGAGACCAGCCGCCAGCAGAGGAGCCTCCTGTGGTCAGGTCAGGTGGATGCCTCAAAGAGTCTGCCCCAGGTAAGTCCCTGTAGATGGGCCTGCAAACTCAGGACCGCTCACTGGCTTGCTCTGCTCCCCACGAGCATTCAGAGAGTTTGCAGTCTGGGCCGAGAGGTCAGGGTAAGGCAGTGTTGCTCAGCCAGTCACCAGCCTGGGGCCATGGCACCTGGCTAGTGGTATGTGCAATGCTCTGACCAGCACAGATGTCAGCAGTCTGATTATCATAACTTCTGGCTCACTGGGGTAACCAGCCTACAGGCTGAGATTTGGGGTCTGGTCACCTAGTGGCACCCTTCATCTTCCTTGTCGTATTGATTCTATTTGGTGAAAGATTTTGTCCACGGTCCAGGCAAGAGATGCTGCTCCCTGCTCTCCTATCCTCTTTTGCAGCTAGCGGTGGCCCTGTGACCTGGTTCTGGCCAATGTGAAGGCTTGGTTTTTTTTAATAGACAATTTTTTTGAGCAATCTTATGTTTACACAAATGTTGAGCAGAAAATACAAGAGTTTCCATATAACTCTTCACCCCCTCAACAGTTTCCCCTATTATTACATCTTGCAGTAGTGTGGCACATTTGTTGCAATCAATGAGCCAATACTGACACATTATTATTAACTAAAGTCTACAGTTTACATTAGAGTTCACGCTTTACAGTGCACATTCTATGGCTTTTGACAAATGTGTAATGACATGTATTCACCATTGAATATCATAAGAACGGTTTCTCTGCTTAAAAGTCCCCTGTGCTCCACCTATTCATCCTTCCCTCTGCCCAAATCCCTGGCAACAACAGGCCTTTGGGCACACATTTTTTGTGTGTAGTAAAATACACACAATATAAAAGTTACCATCTTAACCATTTTTGAGTGTACAGTTCAGTGATATTAAGTACATTCACATTGTTGTGCAACCATCACCACCATCCATCTCTATAAGTCTTTTCTTCTCATGAAACTGAAACTCTGTGCTCATTAAGCACTAACTCCCCATCCCTCTCCCTCAGCCCCTGGCAACCACCATTCTACTTTCTGTGTCTACAAATTTGACTGCTCTAGGTATCTCATATAAGTGGAATCATACACTATTTGTCTTTTTGTGACTAGTTTGTTACACTCAGCATAACGTCCTCAAGGTTCATCCATGTTGTAGCATATTGCAGAATTCCTTCCTTTTTGAGGCTGAATAATATTCCATTGTATGGATATACCACATTTTGTTTATCTAATCATCTGTCAATGGACACTTGGGTTGCTTACACATTTTAACTATTGTGAATAGTGCTGCTATGAACATAGGTGTACAAATATCTCTTCCATACCCTGCTTCAATTCTTTAGGGTATATATATCTAACGGTGGAATTGCTGGATCATATAGTAATTCTATTTTTAATTTTCTGAGGAACTGCCATACTATTTTCCACAGTGGCTGCACCATTTTACACTCCCACCAACAGTGCACAAGGGTCCCAATTTTCCACATCCTCGCCGACACTTGTGGTTTTCTGGTTTTTTGATAGTGGCCATCCTAATGGGTGTGAGGTAGTATCTCACTGTGATTTTGACTTGTATTTCCCTAATGATTAGTGATGTTGAGCATCTTTTCATGTGCTTGTTAGTTACTTATAGATCCTTTTTAGAGAAAAGTCTATTCCAGTTCTTTGCCCATTTTTGAATCAGGCTTTTTGTCTGTCTTTTTATGCTGGTGAGTTTTAGGAGTTCTCTATATATTCTAAATATTAATCTTTCCTCAGATTTTTAAATTTTCATGATCAAATTTGTCTATTTTTCCTTTTGCTAACTGTGTCTTTGAGGTCATATCCAAGATATCATTGCCAAATTCAATGTCTTATGATTTTGTCCTATGTTTTCTTCAAAGAGTTTTATAGTTTTAGCTCTTAAATTCAGGTCTTTGATCCATTTTGAATTAATTTTTGTATATGGTGTTATTAAGGATCCAACTTGATTCTTTTGCATATGGAGATCCAGTTTTCCTAGCATTTTTTGAAAAGACTGTCCATTCCCAATTGAATGGTCTTGGCACGCTTGTCAAAGATCATTGCACCATATATGTGAGAGTTTACTTCTGGGCTCTCTATTCTATTACGTTGGTCTATATCTGGGTCTTTGACAGTACCACACTGTTTTAATTTCTGTAGCTTTGTGGTAAATTTTGAAATAAGGAAATGTGAGTCCTCTAACTTGTTCTTTCTCAAGATTGTTTTGGCTACTTAGGGTCCCTTGAGATTCCAATATAAATTTTAGGATGGATTTTTCTATTTCTGCAAAAAACATTATTGAGATTTTGATAGGGATTTCATTGAATCTGTATATTGCTTTGGGTACTGTTGACATCATAACAATATTAAGTTTTTCAATCCAGATGTCTTTCCATTTATTTATGTCTTCTTTAATTTCTTTCAGCAATGTTTTGTAGTTTTCAGTATACAAGAATTTCGCCTCATTGGTGAAGTTAATTCCTAAATATTTTATCCTTTTTGGTGCTATTGTAAGTGAAATTGTTTTCTTAATTTCCTTTTCAGGTTGTTCATTGTTCATGTATAGACATGTAACTGATTTTTGAGTGTTGACTTTGTATCCTGCAACTTTGCTAAATTTGTTCATCAGTTCTAACAGATATTTTTGTGGACTCTTTAGGGGTTTCTACATATAAGATCACATCATCTGCAAAAAGAGATAATTTTACTTCTTCCTTTCCAATTTGGATGCCTTTTATTTCTTCTTCTTGCCTAATTGCTCTGACTAGAACTTTCAATGCTATATTGAATAGAAGTGATGAAAGTGGGCACTCTTGCCTTGTTCCTGATCTTAGAGGAAAAACTTTCCATCTTTCATCATTGAGTATGATGTTTGCTGTGGATGTTTCATATCTGACTTTTATTATGTTGAGGTAGTTTCCTTCTATTCCTAGTTTGTTGAGTGTTTTTATCATGAAATCATGTTGAATTTTGTCAAATGCTTTTTCTGCATCAATCGAGATAATCATGTGTTTTTTTTTCCTTTGTTTTGTTGATGTGGTATATTACATTGATCAATTTTTGTATGTTGAACCATCCTTACATTCCAGGAATAAATCCTACTTGGTCATGGTGTATCTTCCTTTTAATATGCTGCTGAATTCTGTTTGCTGGTGTTTTGTTGAGGATTTTTGCATCAATGTTCATAAAGGATATTGGTCTATAGTTTTCTTTGCTCATAGTGTCTTTGTCTTGTTTTGGTTTCAGCGTTATGCTGGTCTCATAGTGTGAGTTAGGAAGTGTTTCCGCCTCTTCAATTTTTTTGGAAAGGTTTGAGAATAATTGTTGGTAGTTCTTCCATAAATGTTTGGTAGAATTCACCAGTAAAGCCATCAGCACCAGGACTTTTCTTTGTGGGGAGATTTTTCATTACTGATTCAATCTCCTTACTAGTTATAGGTGTATTCAGATTGTCTATTTCTTCATGATTTAGTCTTGGTCTGTTTTGTGTTTCTAGGAATTTATCCATTTCATCTAGGTGATCCAACTTTTTGGCATACAATTGTTCATAGTACTCTCTTATAATCCTTTTGATTTCTGTAGACTAGGTAATAATGTCCCCACTTTCATTTCTGATTTAGTAATTTGAGTCTTCTCTTTTTTTCTTAGTCCATCTAGCTAAAAGGTTTGTCAATTTTGTTGATCTTTTTGAAGAACCAACTTTTGGTTTTATTAATTTTCTTTATTGTTTTACTGTTCTCTATTTCATTTATCTCTGCTCTAATTTTCATTATTTCCTTTCTCTTGTTAGCTTTGCATTTAGTTTGTTCTTATTTTTCTAGTTCCTTATGTTAGTAAAGTTAGGTTGTTGATTTGAGATTGTTCTTCTTTTTTAATGTAAATGTTTATAGCTGTAAATTGCCTCCTTACCACCACTTTCACTGCATCCCATAGGTTTGGTATGTTGTGTTTTCATTTTCATTTGTCTCTAAGCATTTTCTAATTTCCCTGTGATTTGTTCTTTGACTCATTGGTTGTATAAGCGTGTGATGCATAATTTCCACAAGTTTGTGAATTTTCCAGTTTTCTTTCTGCTATTGATTTGTAACTTCATCCCATTGTGTCATAAAATATACATCATATGATATCTATATTTTTAAATGTTGGGACTTAATTCGTGGCTTAATCCCATATGTATTTGAGAAGAATGTGTATTTGTTGTTGGGTAGAGTATTCTGTATTTGTCTGTTAGATCTGGTTGGTTTAGTCTGTTGTTCAAATCCTCTATTTCCTTACTCATCTTCTGTCTGGGTGTCCTATCCATTATTGAAAGTGGCATCTTGAACTCTCCTACTCTTATTGTAGAACATTCTATTTCTCCCTTCAGTTCTGTCAATTTTTGCTTCATAGATTTTGATGGTCTGTCATTAGTGGCATAACTGTTTATACACACTTATTTTTGCTGTATTGAACTTTTTATTAATATATAATGTCCTTCTTTGTCTCTTATAAACTTTTTTGATTTAGAATCTAATTTGTCTGTTATTAATATAGACACCCTTGCTGTCATTTGCTTATATTTGCATAGGATATCTTTTTCCATCCTTTCACTTTCAACATGGTGTCTTTGGATCTCAAGTGAGTCTCTTGTAGACAACATGTAATTGGATCATGTGTTTTTATCCATCTGCCAATCTCTGCCTTATGATTGTAGAGTTTAATCCATTTACATTTAAAGAATTACTGATATGGAGGGACTTACTTCTGTCATTGTGCTATTTGTTTTCTTTTCCCTATCACTTTTTTGTCCCTCATTGCCTGCATTTCTATCTTCTTTTGTGTTTAGTTGATTTTTTGTAGTGAAATGTTTAAATTCCTTCTTCATTTCCTCTTGTGTATATTCTATAGCTATTTGCTTTGTGGTTGTCATGGGGATTACATTTAACATCCTAAAGTTATAACATTCTACTTTGAATTTACAGCAGCTTAACTTCAGTAACATAGAAAAACTCTGCTCCTTTACAGTCTGTCCCCACCCTTTTTGGTTGTTGATGTTGCAAAATTACATCTTTATACAATGTGTGCCCCAAAACATAAACTAATAATTCTTTTAAATCCA